TTTAGAATGACCTATTCCTATTCCAACTGTTTAATTGGACGGAATCAGAATCTTTTTTTTTTTGTTTAATTGAATAACATTCCCCCATAGAATGATCATTGTCTCTGTCTTTCTTGAAACTAAAATCCCATTTTAACTTGGTTTTGATTCGTATTCTAATTTCTGTAGACCATTCGGATTCCAATTTCAATTCCAAACTACCAACCAAATGGATCCCAAATAACCTTTTTTTTTATGTCAGAATGCAAATTTGTTTTTGCATCCATTATTAATTTGTCCCCGAAGCTCCCTTACTATTTAATGTATGAATAAGATCATTCTTTCTGCTGGGTGCCTCTTAAAGTTGAGATAGGCAGAGGGAGCAGACAAATGGACTAAATAAAGGGGAGTAAAGCCTGTAATCTACTGCTGGGGTCAGCAACTCATATACATAATATATTCCCACGGTGTAACTTGTTTATTAAGTGAGAGAGTAGGTTCCACAAAACCACCATTGTGATGGGAGTGATTGACAATTTAATGTTATTATCCTTGTGGTCCCTTTCCTAAGCTGGCAATATGAGATATCGGTGTTGCTTAAACTAGCATCTTTTCATTAATTGAAAATGACTGATAGGGTAGCTAATGAATCATAGGGTACAGATATCAATTATCAAGATGGCTTGGGAATCTTGCACCTGGCAAGATAGGTATAAAACGTACAAAGCTACATGTATTTCGAGGTAGGATCTGCTCCTCAATTTTAAGTTTTTCTTGGGAAGTTGAATTCAATTTCCAAGATGGGGTACATGTCAAGAAAACAAGGAAGTCATCTGTGTATTGTAACGGACGTGGTGTAATTGTTCAGCCATCCCTACTCCTAATTATCCCCGTGGGATGTAAAGAGTTTAGTATATTTATTTGTATTTTGTATATTATTTTTAGTACTTTTTTTATAATATAAAAATAACAAAAATTAATTTCAGTTAAGGTTGTTCATCAAATTAATGAAATCAATCAATTCAATCTGAATTTGTCATTTTTCTAGTATTTTTTATTGGCTTTACTTCAACAAATTTCCAACCTAACAAGGTTGGATCGGTTTTACATTGGTCATTTATAAATCGACCAAAATCGAATGATTTGATGATAGATATATATTAATATTTTATATTTTTAATATAATTTATTTTATACGGGAAGTAGAAAAATTCTCATATTTCTTAGTCTAAAATATTTTATATCATATATTTAAAATTTAATTTTACTTTTTAATAATGCCACTATATATTTTTTAATTTAAATTTAATTTTTTAGTTGAAATACTTTGAATTGACCGACCATATCGAAAATTGACCTAAACCGATACAACCTGAGTTGGTTGATTTTCACTGATGGTCAGTCAGTTTCGGGTGACCAAGTCAATTTGGTTGGCCAAACAGCCTATAACCGAGTTTTACCAACCCATGGACACTCTTAATTTTAGCTAAATTAATAGTTTAATCTATAATAAATAACAATAATTTAATCTTGAATAATTATTGAAGATTTATAGTGAAAATACATAATTATTGAAAATATATTGATAATGAAAATTCAATAAATAACTAATAAAAATTCAATAATTACAAAAATTACAAAAATACAACGAACACAAAAAAAATATTAAATTAGTCAAGAAATAGTGTAATCTCAATTAATAGTTTAATCTCTAATAAATACCAATCAATAAATTATAAAAAAGTAAAATAAATACAATAAGTACAGTAAATTAGATTTAAAAAGTTAAATAATAGTAGTTTAATAAATATTAATTTTTTTGAAAGTTATTTTCTAGAATTATTAATTGATATAAGTGAAATTAGTTATTTACATTATTATTTAGTTATTTAAATAATATCATTATTTAAATTTTAAAATATTAATTATTTATTGTATTTAATAATCCATAAAATTATAATTTATACTATTATTACATAATTTTGTTATTAATTTTGTAAAATATTAAATTATTATTAATTTGAATGTTATGTTATAACTATTTTTCTACTTTTAAGATTTTTTTTAATTTATTACATAATTTCGTTATCTTAACTATTTAAAAACTAGTTATGTTAAATATTTCATTATTTAAAATATTTATTTATTTAAATATTGAAATAATATATAAAATTTTTAAAATTTTTTGTTATTTGAAATTTATTTATTTTAAAGTTATTACATAACATTAAATACTTTGTTATATGATCGCTTAGCTATTTTTAGTATTTTGTTATTTAAGATATTTAGTTATTGAAATATTTTAATTTTTAATGTTAAATTTTTATTATTTTAATAACATTTAAATTGAGTAATTCGGAAAATCATAATTTATAATGTTAGTACATAATTTCATGATGAATTTTGTAAAAACATAAAAATATTAATAATATGAATATTATTAAATATACTGTAATTATTGTGTTGTGTTTTTAATAAATATTTTAAAATTGTTATATAATTTTGTTTTAATTCAAACTTTCTTTAAATAGATATAGATAAAAAGTGGGGAAGAGGATAAATAGGAATTAGAGATAATTTAGGAGAAAGTGAGGGAGGTAGTTTAGGAGAAATTTTAGGAGGATATTATTTAGGTTATTGAAAAGTGTGGGGTGGAGAGAGAGAGAGAGAGAGAGAGAGAGAGTGAGTGATTTTATGTAATTTTTTATGGGGAAAGAGAGCATCTCATTGGTTGTTTAAAAGTGACATTGAATAAAAAAATAAAAAAGGAGAAATCTTTTTACTTTTTATCTATTTTTTAATTTATGTTAACTTTTTCGTTATTTTTTTCAAAATTTAAAAAAAAAACATGGATTAGCCCAATTCATGGCCTGGCCTAGCCTAAGACTTAGCTCGTGGACCAGCTTGGCCCACGACATGACATAGGCCTGCATGAGCTCAAGCCAAGGACTATACCAGGCTGACCTCCTAAAGTATCCTAGGGAAGGGAAGCATGGCCCGCAGGGCCCGGTTGTAAATAAACTGAAAGATAAAAATAATTTTTAACAAATATAAAAAAAGTAGAAGTTTAGTGGCATCATTGTAAATAGTTAACAATGGTATCATTGTCAATAATTAATTACATGTTTACTATCAAATATGAAAGAGAGAAAGAAGAAAGGACAAATTATAATTGTTTTTGTGTTTTATTCAATGACACCATTGTAATTAATTAAATTTGTAGTGATAATGGTTAAAAGCATGAAAAAAGAAAGTTATAAGACTATAAGATTTCATTTAGGTTATATAAAAAAGAGGGTACAACCTTTTGCTTTTATAAATTGCTTTGGTGAAGACCCATGATGATAAGCTATTGATTATCAGGCTTTAACTTCTTGATCAGCGCTTAACTGAATGCCAATCCTATTTGTTGAATTGCATTATTTAATCTAAAGCCCACAGACCCTTCAGTTAGGGAAGTGGCTGAGGATTCATTTCAAACCAAAATGCCCTTCGGAAACTAATTCATGAATCATCAAAAAGCTTATGATCATATACTTTTATTTTTTGTTTTGGCCATTATCTTCAAGTAAGCCAACTCTGAAACATCTAGGGAGATCAGAATTACTATGGCGAAACAATTGTAATGCCCCAAAGCAATCATAATTAAATAAATTGCATATAGCCTACAACCACCCAATCTCTTAATTATCATTTATGGCTGACATTGTCATTTGACTTGACAGCCCATACTATTGAATTGAAGGAAAAGCTTCCCGCAATCTGCAATAAAAGAAGAAAATTACTCTTCAATTGCCTAATGGAGGGCCTCAGCCTTCAGGTGAGGCTATGGCACAAGCATTAATTAATAATCCATGTTTAGTAGGTACGCATCGTGCAGCAAACCAAGAGGGGATTAGGCCAATATCCGGCACAACTACTCTGAATTAGTTTGTACATAATTGTGGTTTACATTGATAAGAGTTCGAAACAGAGTTTAGCAGGAATTTTTCAAAAGAGAATGCATCCATTACTACATGTAAAATCTGGATTTCCTAGCTACCAACCTCACTCTAGTACTCTCTATCCTACTAATTAACCCAATCTGTACCTAACCATATTACAAGAGTCCTTGTCCAGTTGTCCTACCTCATGTGTAAACATATAACAACTAAGCTGCCAAACCACCCAGTGAAGCTATCTTAGGCAGCTTCTATGAATGAAGATCATCAAGTTTTCCTAGAGAGCTCTGGTTTAACACGAGAATTTATGAAATCATGCATGGCTATCTCATCCTCATCCTCTTGAAGTGGATAGGATTATTCAAGTGATCAGCTCCATTAATCAGGTCTTTCCTTTGCAATAATTAATTGAAGTTGATCATATGGACGATGACGCGCTTGGTTTACGATCGAAGACCTGTGATAATTAATACCCTTTTCCTTTATTTTGGCTGGATTAATTTCTTAGAAAATGCCTTGAACTAGTCATTAATTGTTGTGGGCTTTGGCCATCAGTGTGTGTATATGGTTTATTATCAGAGACAAAGAGTAGTACTCTTAATACTCTACTCATCTAAATTGTTGGACGACTTCATTTTATTTAGTGTATGGACGCAAGAGGCGATCTGGATATTAATTATATTTGGGGAAATTGAAGAAGCATGGAGTGCAATATTACAAGGGACCGGAATTGAATTGATAGAATACAAATGCACCAAAGTATAGACAAATGAAGAATGCCCTACTTCAAAAGCAACGTATTTATCATGAAAGCTGTTATAACCACAAGCCAAGCTGGACTTAGTTAAATATTGGAGAGGAGAGGCACAATAGGACACAGACGTACAGTGCAGTTGAGGCCCATTCAATGAAGAAAACAGCCTTCGATCGGAGAAACCGGCGAGTGTTGTTGCAGTCGCCACCTCACAATCAGACGCACAGTCTGGGACCTCACCACATGTGAAGACTTTATGGACTCTGTCGGCGAGGCCTTCCCCTTCAGATTTTCACTATATTATATATTATGATCTAGCTAGGGCACCCCCTCCACACTTGAATCTGCAGGGAAAGAAGCTCCGAGCTTCTTACCTCCAAAGTATAAAGTTCCTACTTCATTACTAGCTACTTATTGCTTCTCATCAGATCATCTGGGGCCGGGGGAGGGGGGTCGTACTACTGCATCCTCAATGAGGGCTCCTTCTGTTTGCAGAGGAACCCATCTGGGCTTCTGGGTGACTGTACTACTGTTAGTTCGTTTCTGCTACTACTGCACCGCCGACAACTCCTTTCAGGTGTTGGGTGTTGGAGAGTGCGTGGACTGCAAAAAGAATAACATTAAGAGTAGCCATGCATTTTCAGGTACGATCACTCTCTTTCTTGCTTCACTATTCACATATTTTTTTTTTACTATATATACAGGCAATTGGGATCTGCTCCTCACATAAATAATAAATACAAATAAGGGAGATGTTCGCTGTGAGATCGGTGTGAGGAACAGATCCGATCTCCTATCCAGTACGGATCTCACCCAGTTGTGTCCTACCGCTTTCTTAATTCAGCATTGTTTGTGTTTTATGGAGTTATGATGGACTTAGGTTGTGCATACCCCATGATTATAATAAGGTTCACATAAGTTGAAGAAATCCACAGGCTTTGGAAAATAAACATAACTTGTTTTTTTCTTTTTCAAAAAAAAAGAAAACTTGGATAAAGAGCTAGCTTAATTTGGACTAAACTCGGTGGAAATCCTTCAGTTGGAATAAATTGTAACTTCAATTCATACTGTTGATCTGTTCACTAATTAGGGAACAGAAATGTACTTTTTTTCTTTTAAGTTGGATAAGGAAATTAATTAATAGGTTTTTTTGAATGAAAAAAAAATTACCTTGCGCATCCTATGGTTAAGGTCATATCATGGAGACGCAACCTTTTAACACAGCTCAAGAAGCTCAACAGTTCAAACATCGTCTAAACTTTCCCCCCAAAGATCAGCTACACGAATCCTGTTCTGTTATTTCATTCTGTTCAGGACTGTCATATATATTAATCTATTATTAAATTATGAGCTCTTGAATCATTCTCGATCATCTCGGTCTACCCCTGGTTCATCAATTTGTAACTTGTGCACGATCAAACCATGTTGATCTGCTTCCTCCATTTTATTATTATCAGTTTATCACACATTGAAACTAGTCCTAGGGAAAATTCTTCACTTTTAATGTGTTGTGCATTAACCTTTGTGGTTTTGCAGGGCTTCGTGTAGCCATTGAGTGCAAGGATGCAAATGGACAGTTGAAGACGAGAGGAGCTGGAGAGCTTGACAAACAAGGGAAATTCACAGTAAAAATTCCCAGGGAGATTGTGAAAGATGATGGTGAACTGAAGGAGGAATGCTTTGCGCAGCTCCACAGTGCATCAAATGCACCATGCCCCACTCACAACGGCCTGGAGTCCTCCAAGATAATCTTGCAGTCCAACAAGGAGAACGGGAAGCATAAGTTTGGGCCGGCCGGAAAGTTGGCTTTCTCGCCGATCACATGTACGTCGGCCTTCCTCTGGCCTCATTTCAACTACCCACCACTACCAAAACTTCTACCCTTCCCCACCACTCACCCTTGGTTCAATCATCCATGGTACAAACCCCTCCCAAAGATGCATTTTCCTCCTCTAGTCTTTCCTCCACTCCCACCAAAGTACTTTCATCCTCCAATATATAAGAAGCCTTTCCCACCACCGGTACCGGTGTATGAGAAGCCACTTCCGCCACCAGCCCCAGTGTATGAGAAGCCACTTCCACCACCTGTTCATGTTGAGCCACCACCAGTCCCTGTATACGTAAAGCCACTTCCACCACCAGTTCCTGTTGAGCCACCACCAGTTCCAGTGTACAAGAAGCCTTGTCCACCACCAGTACCAGTATACAAAAAGCCACTTCCACCACCAGTTCCTGTTGAGCCACCACCAGTTCCAGTGTACAAGAAGCCTTGTCCGCCACCAGTACCAGTATACAAAAAGCCACTTCCACCACCAGTCCCTGTATACGTAAAGCCACTTCCACCACCAGTCCCTGTATACGCAAAGCCACTTCCACCACCAGTGCCAATTTATAAACCACCATCTACTCCAACCTACAAGAAACCATGTCCACCCATCATCCCTCACCTCCCTCCGTTGCCCAAATTTCCACCTATCCCCAAGCTCCCTCCCATATACAAAAAGCCTCTGCCTCATTTCCCTAAATTTCCTCCAAAATCGTATCACCACCCTAAGTTTGGTTATTGGCCTCCCCATCCACCTTATTCATCCCATCCTTGAGGCATTTCCAAATTAAGGTTCTTGATATTATTAAATTAGGACCCTTCTTTCCATGGGTGTGTTTCATGTACCTATTGATCTAGTTTTTATTGTTTATTGTGGAGAAGAATATTTACTTTAAGATCTACTAGTGCAATAAAGTCATCGATGTAGAAACTAGAAAGCCACCGTCACTTTTTATTTGTAATAATATAGCTGTATCATGTGAGTTGTTACAATTAAATTGTCAGTTTGGGGCCTTGGGACATTTCATGTATTGAAGTTATTTCTTTCTTTTTCTTTTTCTTTTTTTTTTTAGGGAAAATTTTCTATTAGTAACACTCTCGTCTTCAAATTTTAAAATGTGGCAATTCAGTATTTGAACTTTCAAAACGTATAAATTCAGTATATGTCATTAACTAGTTCATTAACCGGCCATTAAGTGGCATTTGAAAAGACACAAATGACCTTCGACTGTCATCTATTTTTCTTTATCAACCATATTCCAAATCCTTTCCTCTTCTATTTAAAAAAGTTGGTGTCACCAGAATGCCCACTGAGACGTAACCCTAAGTCCCCAACTTTTTTGAATAGAAGAGACAAGGATTTGGGACTTCATTTTTTGTCAACATTTGGATGGTTGATAAAAAAAATTAGTTAACATTTAAAGGGCACTTGTGTCTTTTCAAGCGTTATTTAATGACTGGTTAACAGGCTGATTAATGATAGGTTTTGAAAATTTAAATACTGAATTATGGCATTTTAAAATTTGAGAACCAAAGTGGCACTAGACCCAAATTATAGGGTACTAATAGGGAGAGAATTTCCCCCCTCCCACCCCCCCTAGTTTTCCCATTTTGGGCGAGTCAGACTTCATGAATCTGCCTATGAAGAATGCATTTTATTCATTCATAAGGCGGGTGTGGACGAGAGGATTGAAAATAAAAGATAGAATAAATAAAAAAGTGCAGTGCTCGATGGCTTTTCGGTTAATTGGTAGAAGGCGTAAATGGAATGCCATGATGAGAAGGTAGAGTCAGCTTTGGGTCTCAAATAGGATATCCGAAAGGTAAAACATCTAATAATTTGATAATCCAATGTCTACATTATTAAAATTTAGAAGAAATCTAGTCGATGGATCAAAATCTATAAACTCAATGGCATTTTAGCATTACTTAGCTTTGGAACACTGTCACAAGAGGCTCAGTTTGGGAAGAGTGTAAATACAAATCTGTCCGGTACAAAGATAAGGTTTAGAAATATAAACACGGACCATATACATGGTTTTGCATCAAATATATTTATATTTTTTCTCTTCCTTTGTGAAGTAAATTTCATTTGCATTGTTGAAAATACAGGAAAATGCAAATAGGTTAAGTGCAAATTCTGATTTATTTATTGTTTTAGATTTGATTTGTTGTGAAAAGCAAATAGGATGTAAAATGAAGTTATACTACTCACTTTATATAAGACATGAGGAGAATTATCTATTTGAAAGTGCGGTAGAAAGCAAGGTGATAACTGATATGGTTCATTCTATATGGGACAGAATTTAGGTATGAGGAAGGTGCTGGTGCAAATTTCACATCAGTTTTTAGGATGTAAAATTTGCACTGACAGTAAATGCAAATGAGACAAAATACATTATATTAGGTAGGAATACAAAGTAACAATTAAATAAGCCTTACAACACTCCCCCTCACATTCTAGAAGTAAATTCCTTGAGGGTTGGTATTCTACTTGTGGTTGTTGTGTAGTTGTGTGGTGTTTGGACTGTTTTCAGCAGTGTCCTATGGCAAATTATGAATCAACTTCATCGGGGGTTACACCGATCCGCAACACAGCTGGTTCAGATCCTAGGAAGCAAAGAGTTGTCGTCGGTTCATGAGGTATACTCCCTTGTTCAATCGGAAGAAAGCAAGCGGAGTGTGATGGTTACAGCTGAGGGGGAGCAACAAATTGCTTTGGCTGCAATGAATAATAACTACACGGGAAAGAAAAGTGACACTAAGAAGACTGATGATAAAGATAAGTTGTTCTGTACCCACTATCGGCGTTCACGGCATACACGTGACACTTGTTGGGACATCCATGGGAAACCCAAGTGGGCAGTGAAGAATCAAGAACAGGGTAAAGGTCAATGTCAGAAGAAGATGAACACAGCACGGAATGCAGCACATGTGGCAACCCAAGATACTCAGGTTGCCGGTAGTACCCGGGACCACCTTAATAATTCTGACCCCAAGGAAGATATAATGAATTCCTTCAGGTAATACGACTTCTGCATTCCATGTCACTCCCATGGATTCCCCTTGGATCATTGACTTAGGGGCCTCCAACCACATGACCGGTAAGCTGAATTTGTTTCAGACTTATAGCCTTTTGTTAAGAAGGGATAGAGTGAGACTTGCAGATGACTCTTTTTCCTCTATTGCAGGCCAATGATCAATATCTCTTCCCCATGGCCTTAACCTGAATTGTGTATTGCATGTCCCTCAACTTCCTATAAATTTGCTCTCAATTAGTAGTATTACAAGTTCTTTAAACTATAGTGTAACCTTTTTTGCTAACTCATGTGTTTTTCAGGACCTAACATCTGGGAGGACGATTGGTAGAGAGAGCCTAGTGGATGGTCTTTACATTCTCGACAACAAAGTTGGTCTCTCGGTGTCATCCTCAGAGTCACATAGTCACTCAAATAAGAGTCAATTTTTTTTTTGTTTCCGGTTTTCTTTAAGTCATGTTCAGTGTCAGAGTTCCAATATCAAACGTGTCAGTTGAGCAAACAATGTAGAACAACTTTTCACTCAAGTAATAAAAGATCAAATGTTCATTTTCATGTTGTGTATTCTGATGTATGGGGGTCTACTAATGTAATCTCTAAGGGCGAATATAAGTACTTTATCACATTGATCGATGATTACTCTCGCTATACATGGGTAATTCCTATGCGTAGTAGAGACGAAGTTCCAAAGATTGTGAAAGACTTCCAGATGATGGTATTTACGCAGTTCCATGTTGAAATACAGATTTTCCCATCCAACAATGCAAAAGAATACTTCCATGGGGAGCTCAATGAGTTCTTTGTCTCCCACGGATCTATTCATAGGAGATCATGTGCCAGAACACCACAACAAAATGGTGTTGTAGAGAGAAAAAACAAACACCTCCTTGAGGTGGCTCATGGGATGATGCTACACATGAATGTTCCAAAAAGTTTTGGGTGGATGCTATACTTGCAGCTGCTTATGTCATCAATCGCATGCCCTCCAAAGTGTTGAACTACATGGCCCCTCATCAGTTATTGTACCTTCAGTCTCCTTTATTTTCCATTCCCATGAGAGTCTTTGGTTGTCGTGCCTTTGTCCATGATTTGTCTCCATCTCGAGGTAAATTAGACCCTCAGTCCATTCCTTGTATCTTTCTGGGGTATCTCTCCTCTCAAAAAGGGTATCGATGCTTTGATCCCGTTAGTCGTAAGTTTTTTGTGCCTATGGATGTGTCCTTCTTTGAGTCTGAGCCATTCTTCTCTACTTCTCCTTAGGGGGAGAGTAGTAGTTTGGAATAGGAGAAACAGGTTCAGGTATCTCTTCCTTCTATTCCGGACCTTGCTCCTTTTCGTGTCTTCCAACGTACACGCCATAGAGATCAGCGATGTGATAGAGATGTGGAGCAGCTAAACACTGAGCAACCGACACCGTTAGACTTCCAGGAGGTAAGTCCCCTCCCTAACCCTATTACCCATTTAGACCTAAAGGGAGTTAGGTCATGCACTACCAAACACCCCATTACCCATTTTGTCTCCTATGATCACATTTCCCCCTCATACCAAACCTTCCAATCTGCATTTGATTGCATCATTGTTCCCAGAAATGTTGCAGAAGCCTTAAAATGCCCTGAATGGACAGATGGAGATTAATATTCTTCACAAAAATCAAACTTGGGAATTGGTGGATCTTCCAAAGGGGAAAGACCCCACAGGGTGTAAATGGGTGTTCACGGTTAAACACAAGGCAGACGGAACAATTGAAAGGTACAAAGCAAGATTAGTAGCCAAAGAATACACACAAATATGTGGGGTTGACTATGATGAGAGGTGTGCAAGCTGTGAAAGTCTCTTTATGGCTTAAAACAATCTCCCGGAGCCTGGTTCAGTAAGTTTCATATGGCAGTTCAGCAAATGGGCTTCAAACAATGTTAGTCTGATCATACACTTTTTGTGAAGAGATGTCAGGAACAGGTTGCTTGTATTGATAGTGTATGTGGATGATATCATCATTACAGGAAGTTGGAGTTTAGAGATACAAAAATTGAAACAATTCCTTACATCTAAATTTGAAGTGAAAGATCTAGGTCCCCTGAAGTATTTCCTTGGGATTGAAGTTGCCCGCTCAGAAAATGATATCTTTATCTCTCAAAGGAAATACACCCTTGATCTATTACAGGACACATGAAAATTAGGTGCAAAGCCGGCAGATACTCCCATGGATGTTGACCACAAGTTAGGTGATTGTGATGGTGAACCTCTGAAAGATATGAAACAGTTCCAAAGGTTAGTGGGAAAGCTAATTTATTTGTCCATGACCCGTCCAGACATTGCCTATTCCGTTGGGGTTGTAAGCCAGTTCATGCACTCTCCTAAGAAACCACACATGGAGGCAGCATAGAGAGTTTTTAGGTACTTGGAAAAAATATCCCGGAACAGGACTACTATTCAGTAAACACAATCACCTAAAGGTAGAAGTCTTTACAGATGCTGATTGGGCAGGTGTTGTGGATGACAAAAAGTCCGCAAGTGGGTATTGCACATTTGTAGGAGGAAATCTAGTGACCTGGAAAAGCAAGAAACAAAGTGTGGTAGCAAGGTCAAGCGCTAAAGCTGAATATAGAGTTATGGCACATGGGGTGGCTGAAGTCCTTTGGCTAAAGAATCTTCTAGGGGAGTTTGGAGTTATTATTCATAGTCCTATGTCTCTTTACTGTGACAATAAGGCTGCAATAAACATTGTCAGCAACCCTGTCCTACATGAGAGGACAAAGCACATTGAGGTGGACAAACACTTCATAAGAGAAAAATTGGAAAAAAGGGAATTTTGCATCCCTTATGTCAACTCCAATGAACAAATTGTTGATGTCCTCACAAAGGGGCTTCCATACTCGCGGCACAATGAGTTATGTGACAAGCTGGGCATGATAGACATATTCAGCCCAACTTAAGGGGGAGTGTTGTAAGGCTTATTTAATTGTTACTTTGTAGTTATTGTTACTAGACTGACTTCTTAAGATACTGTCAGTTAGTTACTTTTCTTTTTTTCTTATTAGTTTGGTTCTAGGGTGTGCCGCCAGGGGCATACTTATAATTTTAATTCTTTTTACTAAGTTAGTATCTCCCTCTCTCTCTCTCTCTCCATAAATGATTACAAGCCACAACATAAGCAAAACTGAACTGGGTATAGAATTTGTATTTGATTTTGATTTACAATGCAACAATCAGACTATCAAGAGTCTAATCTCAGTTTGTAAAGAGTATAAATACAAATATATACAGTACAAATGCATACAAAATAATATAAAATATAAGATTTTACATTCTACATATTTACATTTATTCTCCTTCCAAACTGAAATTCAAAGTAAAGACCATAAATGCAGTGAAATAACTTATAGGGAATGCTCCTCCTCAGGCATGTCGTGCAAATTACCGTCGAAAGAAGTTGAGTTGGGTTCGAATTTTACATCACAGTTACTTAGCCCAGCCCAAATTGTGCTCTGGTGACTAAGGTGGTGTTCACTGTTCAGTAGTGTAAAAGTATCGTGAATGGACCATTTTTAGTCGCACTCCATGATGGAAATAGGCGTTTGGTTAACTGCGGATCATTTGCATCCACACTATACTGTGGTAGCAAACTGAATAGATATATCACAATATGTCACCCATTTATCATGGTTTGGACGATTGATTTTTATAACAAAAAATTGATTGAATATTATACCCTCTAACTTTTTAATTGTACAACCCATGGTTCTCATATTTTTATTATTAAGTAATTTTACTCTTTTTGTGTGTTTGGTGGGGGAAGGGGTGGGTAAAAACGAGGACACAATACTCAAGACCCACAAACCCAGAAATATGGTGGTGGTTGCGTGGACGATGCATGGAGCATCTCTTCAAAGGTGGCAGCACTGATCAGCAGAACCACCCTGACGACATGGAAGAAGATATGGGATAAAACTTAACCAAGGAGTGAAGGCCGGCCATTTTTGGGTTAACAATTAGTTGATGAAGTATTCGTGAATTGAGTAATCAGCTCAAAATGGTATGTACAAGCACAGGAATCCGATGAAAATACTGGAGATAGCTAGTTCACAACTTCACACCACAGGTGATACCAATTTCCAATTGAGAAGTGCGAGGGCATTCTCACACCACATTGTACCAACCTGTGCGACCTAGAAAATTTTCCTCTCCAAACTCAATCTTATATATGGAGTCACATAAACCAGAAATTTCTAAATGTAGAAAAACGACAATTCTTTATTCACATGCTTGAATTAAAACCCAATGGCTATGACTTCGCGGCAAACAGGGAAAGTGTAACGTTAGCAGTTGTTTTCTCCTTTGAATTTGGCAAGTGGTCGACACGCTTCAGCCCTCGTAGTTCTCTTCTTCCTCATATTCGCCTTCTTCGTCATCTTCAATGGTGGCATCCTGGTATTGCTGGTATTCCGAAACCAAGTCGTTCATGTTGCTCTCAGCCTCTGTGAACTCCATCTCGTCCATCCCCTCTCCTGTGTACCAGTGCAAAAAGGCCTTTCGACGGAACATCGCTGTGAACTGCTCGCTCACCCTCCTGAACATCTCTTGAATCGATGTCGAGTTTCCTACGAATGTTGATGCCATTTTCATACCGGTAGGAGGGATGTCACAAACGCTCGACTTCACATTGTTGGGTATCCACTCAACAAAATACGACGAATTCTTGTTCTGCACGTTAATCATCTGTTCGTCTACCTCCTTGGTGCTCATCTTCCCCCTGAACATGGCCGAGGCAGTCAGGTAGCGACCATGGCGAGGGTCTGCGGCACACATCATGTTCTTTGCATCCCACATCTGCTGCGTCAGCTCCGGCACGGTGAGAGATATGTACTGCTGGGATCCACGAGAGGTCAGTGGGGCAAAGCCCACCATGAAGAAGTGGAGGCGAGTGAATGGAATAAGGTTCACCGCCAGTTTCCGCAGATCTGAGTTCAACTGGCCCGGGAACCTCAAGCAGCAAGTCACCCCACTCATAGTTGCAGAAATCAAGTGGTTCAGGTCGCCGACTAATACGAAATCCCACAGTCAAAAAATCCATGTTTATGCGTAATACTGTTAATATCAGTAGTTAAGCCAGTTGTTCTGTTAACAGAATACTCACAGCTCGGATTAGTAAGCTTTAAGGTCCTGAAGCAGATGTCATACAGTGCTTCGTTATCAAGGACCATGCATTCATCCGCATTCTCCACCAGTTGGTGAACCGACAGCGTAGCATTGTAGGGTTCTACGACTGTGTCGGAGACTTTTGGAGAGGGAAAGACTGAAAATGTAAGCATCATCCTGTCCGGGTACTCCTCCCTCATTTTCGAAATTAACAGAGTTCCCATCCCGGAACCTGTGCCACCTCCGAGAGAGTGGCATACCTGAAAACCTGCCGAAAGAAAAAGAGAACATTAAAAAAATGTCAGAGATTTTACCATGCACCAAGAAATGGCCCCTAAGCGCAAGGAATCGCATCAAGCAAGATAGATAAATGGTCATGGCTCAAGGTTCTAATCGACGAAGAGTCCTTTGCACACTGTTCCATCACCAAACCCCCAGTAGAACTCTGTAATTTTCATCTTACTCGGGTCCTGTGCAGGTATCTACAGACGTGGGGACAAGACAGAAGTCACAGAACCACGCCTCTTCAGGCAAAGTCGGGCCCTGTGGATTTCAAAGACACGGTGCAATTTCCTATTTTCTTGCTTCAGTCAATTTGCAAAGGAAAAAGCAATATTGGTGGTTGTTGGAACCAGACAAAAAGGAACCCATCTTCAAAGGTTTTACAAATGAAAGAGTTGGCCCCACCACAAATAGGAACCCATCTTCAAAGGCTTAAAAAGAATGATCACAGAGAATTTTTCGACAGGTAAAATTTGAGCTTTGGACTTGGTTGGTCTCTGGGAACCTTCTGATCACAGACAAACAGATTCCTGAATTCTCTGAAAAAGGACGAATTTTACTACAGGGAGTCAGGGAGACACCATTTTCTATAACTCAAAACTTTACCTCAGAAGTTAGTATTAGATTACTTATAAGTTAAATAAGGTGTCGCTTGAACAAGCGTGGTTGAACACCTGAACATTACTGCTGTGACTTGCGCTATCCTTGTGAAAAGACATTAGACATGGAGCAAAACATGACAAAAAGGAAAGTGTATACATTATTGGATGCATTGCATCCTCTATTGTAATTTGTTCTTATATGGTCTCAACATTCAAAACAGGGTAAAATTAAAAGAGCAAGTTATACTGGATCGGAATAAGAATACGGAGGAAAATATGTTCTCTCTTTGAGAAAGAAATTTCCACTACAGACTTTTAAGTGCTCTTTTGAAAAATCAAGAATTAGAAAAGCATTGAAGTCACATTACAAACTAAAGATCACAAAGTTACAGGGAGTCGGAAAGAAGTTCTGAGATGTGAAATTTAATCAAAATAATACATTAGATAGAAGCACGACATCACTATTAGGATTTTACCGCTTTGATAGGATTTTTTTTTTTTTGATGAAGCGCATAGTTAGGATTAGCAAAGCAAATCTCACGCATAACAATCAAAAGTTCAAAAGAAAGGAAATAAATTAGCATATCATTGTTCCAAATATAAACGTTTTAATAAAGCAAGAATCCTTGGACCAAAGCCTGGCTCTGAAGACCTCTATATACAGAGAAATGTATCTGACTATGTAATTCTCAATATTAAGAAAAAATAAATAAAACACGGAATGACACTCTCTGGCTTACGAAAAAAAAAATCAGCAGATAATGAAAGAAACACCTTCGAGTTCAATTGCATACAATTTCTAGAACATGGATATTATAAATTAGTTCGGCATGATTCATAGATCTGGACATTTCGATTTCAACTGAGTTGATCAGCACAAATGTAATAGATTCCAAATTCCACTACTCCCAATAACCGATGAGATCCTCCTTACGACAATAGAAGTGGATGGCATCAAGAAACATGATCACTTCGATTCGGACTATAAATTATACGACAAAGATGGAAACCAAACAGAAGCGGATCGGTAACACAGAATTTGTAAAGACAAAGTGAAAAGTGCAAAGCGATTTACCTTGCAAACAATCACAGTTCTCTGCCTCCTTACGAACAACGTCAAGAACGGAATCGATCAACTCGGCACCTTCGGTGTAGTGACCTTTAGCCCAGTTGTTGCCGGCACCGGACTGTCCGAAAACGAAATTATCAGGTCGGAAGATCTCACCGTAGGGTGCGGATCGGATGCTGTCCATGGTCCCGGGCTCGAGATCCATAAGAACAGCCCTGGGAACATATCGTCCTTCGGAGGCTTCATTGAAATAGACATTGATCCTCTCGAGTTGAAGATCGGAAGATTCGCCTTTGTATTTTCCCGTCTGGTCGACGCCATGCTCGCCACAGATGACTTCCCAAAACTTGGCTCCGATCTGGTTTCCACATTGTCCTCCTTGAACGTGAAGGATTTCCCTCATTCTATTGGTAAGGGTTTGTTTCCTATGGATCTACGGGGTGGTGTGTGTGTCGGGAGAAAAACCAAATTGAAGAAGAAGGAACTATAAATAGGCGATGGAGAGAGGGAATGAGTGGGGGAGGAACATTCGGCAACGATAGAGCGTGGGAAATGTTATTGCCTTATTGGTTTGCTTTGGAATTGGAATTTGGAAGCCAATAGCCATACTCTGGGAAAGCGGGGGATGTTGATGGGGTTGGGCTACCCAGTTTCGGGAGACCAACCATTGTCCTACTCCTACAGGAGTGAACCCCACCCACGTCTCTGCATGAATTTCTTCATGTCATGTCCACCAAAATGAGGGCAGGGATTTGCTACCAACACATGACGTTCCCAACAGTGTCCCTACACCCACCGCAGTCTGCAGCTGTACATTTAGGAACATCTCTCCAATGTACATGGGAACGGAACGGGTAGATGTTCCCAATGTGCGGCTGCAGTGGCCACTTGAGAAACAGATCTCCCGAATTCATTATGAATCCGGATCACCTGCCAATAAAAACCCCAATCAAACCATTCCAACATGATCGTATCTAATATGTTTATAAGAAAAAGCATTTCAAAAATGATTAATTACTCCACTTTCAAATATTAGTTTTAGGATAAGTAGACTGCAATCCACTTCAGCAATGTGAAGTGGTGGACTGAACTATAAAAACCCCTTTTATTAGACATAGGTTGAAAAAATGATTAGTTAATTCCACCTTAGAAAAAAGTTCTAAATCTAAGCATATGGCTATTTAAAATTTTAAATTTATAAAAGAAAAGTTTTCACTCTAAGATAATAAAAAAAAATATCCACTAAGTATATGTTTGGCAACGATGATACAGTTGAAAACGGAGTTGTTGATGTATGGCTTGGAGCACTCTTTTCTCAGAAAACGATGTCTTTTTTTTGTTTAGAATTGTTGTTGTCAAGTAGGACATTTCTTGGAGCAACAACAACTTTTTTTTTTGTACCAATGCTCTAGGAAACATTTTCTACACTTCTACCCATTATCCACTGCCACATCACTGCCCTGTTGGCAACAATGAGCTGCAGCTCCAGGAAACGCCAAATTCGGCATTGCTCCAAGCCATGCCTTCCCGATTTCTAAGGCGTGGCTTGGAGCACCGTTTTCTATGGAAAAACAGTTCCAAACAGATTGTTGTTTTCTGTAGAAACTTTTTTTTTCCTACATAGCACTGATGTGACGCCATTTTCTGGAGCAACAACAGTGGTTCCAAACAGACACTAAAGGATATAGTGATATAGAGCCATATCAATCTTTTTAATTCAATTTCTTAATTTAAATAAAAGAATTACTATAAAGATTTTTAAATTACGAATTAAACCTGATTTAATTATTCAAATTAAATAAGAAGTTCAAGTTAGATACAATTATGAGATAAATAATGAATATCAAATGAAACAATACTATTAAAAAGATAGAAAAACAAAAGTATATATAGTGTAGTTTCCCTTTTATTTATATGGGGTCATTCTCTAATATATATTAAAATAAAGCCCTTAAATTAGAGGGCTTAAGTTCAAGAAAGGTCAGTGGTTAACTTCACTTTCAAATATAAGATTTCTTACTCAAGCATGTATCTACCCACTTTTAGAAAAAGTGAGTAATTAACTCTACTCTCGGGAAAAAACACCAACTCTAAACACATGGTTATTTTCAAAAAAAAGAAAAAAATTACCACTCCAAGCTAATTTTAGATATATCGCTACCTATAAAAAGAGTATCCACTCCAAAAGAGTTGTGGGATTCATTAATCTTTGTGATTTAATTTCTTAATTTAAAGAAAAGAGTCACTATAAACAGTTTTAAATTACAAATTAAACCTGATTTAAGCATTTAAATCAAATAAAAAAATCAAATTAGATATAATTATCTAATAAATAGTGAATTGCAGATAAAATGATACTTTCAAAAAGGTATATTAATTGCCTCGTACTTAGCATAGGACCATTTCTAAAGACAAATTGAGATCTATTCCTTATAGAGCATGCCTCACACCAACCTCACAGCTACATCCCACCTTGTATTGGGAACATCTCCCCATGAATAATAAATACAAGCATGGAAGATGTTTCCAATGTGCAGCCAAGACAGTCTGTGAGGTTGGAGTGAGGGGGCACTCTGTAAATAGCAGATCCGGACTCATTTCTAGTGTATGATCCGCATATACTATGTTTGATTGTATGAACACAACCCAACCTTATTATTTGTAAGTTATTGGTTTATTAAAGTCCCGTTTGGCAAGTCTTTTTGAGAAGATCTTCTCGTAGCTCTGGCAGTCAATAGATGCATTGAACTTTTGACATAAGATCTGGGCAGCCCAAAGACCGTTTGGCAAATGTGCATCTTTTTGTGCATTGTTTCGAATCTTTAGGTGCGAGATTAAAACACGAAAGATGCGAGAAACTTCATTTAGAACTTCCCGAAATCAGCCCAAAATGGGCTTCCCACATCTTTTCAATGCCCCATCTTTTGGCGGCAAGATCTTATGCATGCCAAACGAGAATAGACCAATTTTCGGTCTTCCCAGCCAAAAGACCGCCCAGAAAAATGAGTCAAACAGGGCCTAAATATTTGTATCATTCCCACTATTAATGTCTTATATGGTGTCTAATACTCTGATGTGGGTCGCAGCAGATGTGGACTCGTCTATCAATCACCCTCGCTTGTAGCAATTTACCTACTTGTAGGGGCTGCGTCTAGTAGTAGCACTTGGATTTCTACCACGCTTTACCAGACAAAAGAATTTGCATTGATACCCCAGTTTATAGAACGCACCCCACACACCCATCCAACCATGCATTGGGAACATCTCCCATGATTAGGGGTGCGCTCTTGGGATGTGCTGTGGGCGAGTGTGGGGTGCAAGTGCACTCTGCGTGGTAACTTATCCAAATACAAACTTTATTGCTATTGATTGATCTTCATCCTGTGTGCGTGTGTGCGTTTGAGAAAGCATGTATATTGTGGACCCTATGGGGTTGTTTGTGTGAATGTGGGGCTTTATGATATGGGAATAAACTTTAACCTCACAGCTCCCAGTGTATTGGCATGTTTTCTCATTAACATCAGGTCCTACCAAGTTTTTCTGACGCCTCAGGTCCCACATATTAGTAGGAGTCGCCTGTGAAATGAGTTCGGAATTCCTCCACATACCCATCTCAAAGGAGTTCAAATCAGTCTCCCACAAGATTGCCCCCTCACAACATCCCACAGCACATCCTCACCGTGTATTGAGAACATTTCATGATGATGACATCATCATTTCTGAGATTATCATTGGAAGATGTTCCCAATACATTGCAGGGATGTGCTGTGGGACGTTGTGGGGGGCTGATTTGGTTTCATCTCAAAGTACATTACAGCCGTACATCAGAAATATCTCCTATACTTGCATGTTTCATTCAGATGTTCCCGATGCATAGCTCTGGATCAAGTTCTACAGAGCCACTTGTATGCATTTGGAAGGTATGCCTATTTTCAAGGTTTTAAAAACTGATCTGGAACTGAAACCAGAATCATTCTGGTTCAAAGAACAGCCCATTCTGACAAAAAAATAATAAATAATAATTAAAATAAAAAATAACAAAAAACATTGAACGGGTCACCAATTAGACTGCCTGAATCAATGGATCGTTGACCAATTCAACAGTTTTTAGCTAAGGACTGGTATTGGGATAAAACAGAACCAGTTGCCTGGACGGTTCCTGGATGATTCCTTGATGAAACAGAACCAGTTGCCTGAACCAATTAGAAAACATTGCCTATTTGAATTATAAACAGGCTCAAATAATAGTTGCATGCCAATTTGTATTTTTCTTTTTTTTGGTAAAACATACCAATTTGTATTGATCATCCCCAAAATGTTTCTCTGGTAGAAACAACCAAGTACCAAACACAACCATAATGACAATACTTGCCTGCGGCAGTTGGCCTCAAATCAGGATGACTCCTAAAACAAGAGGTGATTAGAGAATAGTTATAATGTCTCTGGTTTTGAGAAGAACAAAAAAGAGGTACTTATGAAAATTTTCTGTTAGTTTGGAATCAGGTAGGTTTTGTAATGTTGGCTCTTAATGTTGCTGAAATTGAATCTTGAACATTTACCTCCTCTAGGGACCATGTTTAAAGCAACACATTGTTAACATTCAAACCGATTTTGATGCTCATAAAAATACAAGGCTTCGAAACAACCAGGACAAATTTTGTACATTGAATATTGCTTCTTCCGAAGATCCGCATTAAAGTTGGGTCTCATTACAATACTTCTTAAAGCTCAAGCTTTCCTCCACCAAAAAGTCGCTGCCAAAATTAGGTATATTAGTACAATGAGTATCAAAAGGTAAACAGAAAAAGAAAAAAAAAAAAAAAAAAACATATAGTGATACAGGAATTACTGATTGAGGTACTCACAAGATGCGTTCTGCCATTTGTGATATTTCCCATCTGGGACTCCATGGATAATCTACCAAAGGAGGTGACATGATTGGTGCACCTTGAGAATTGAAATGCTATAAAATTATAATAATCTAATCAGTATGAGTGATGTGTACCGATAACACTATTACAAGTCAGGGAAAGGACAGAAAAGCATGGGTTTCACATAGTGCATATACCAGTTAAGGACCATCCCGTTCCAAGTACAAGCAGCTAAACATATGTATCCAGTTGGAAATATGAGAAGGGTTTCTTATTTGACGAGATTAAATTAAGTATAATTTATAATCAACAACCCACTTTATATAAAAGAATGGGGCCGGCAAATGCATCAAATTGAAAGTCTGTGGTTAGTCTTTTATTCGAGTTAGGAAACTAAATTGGAGTTGATTTAATATAATAGATTTGATTAACTTCTTTCATGAGTTAAAATTTATTTATCCGGTTATCCCTTTTTTTCTAAATAGCAGTCTTAGACGCATTTTTTCAGAGGCCCACTAGTCTGAGGGCTTTGCTTTGACATATATTAGATGTTCTTGCTGTGAATAAATGAAAATGACCTAACATATATACATCTAGGATCTCTTTTTTTTTTTGGTATTCAGTGTCCTTTTCTAGGTCTGCAATAATATATGTACTCCCTAACAAAATAGAATAAGGTGGTGAATAGGCAATTGGCAATCACCCCAGAAACCAGGTTGTTCTAGGCTCTAACAGATCAAGGAGTTGTAACCCAAGAAACAGGCCCACTCTTTATGCACCTAAAAATATTTGCAGTAACTAGTACTGTGTGCTTGTGTATTACCACAAACACACACAAAAAATTATAAAATCAGAGTAACTGGTCAAAGAATTGACTACCCAAATCTCCTAAAAACAAAATCCAGGTATGATGCTTTGAATTAAGACTAAGCACTCAAATATCCATGACTCACTTCTCATCTGTTTTTACAGGAGGTGAGGGAGTTCAGCAGAACTTCATATTTTGGAAAGTGACAAAAACAAGCTCAGCATCCAGATAATAATGGATATGCACATTAAAGCAAAGCATGGCTCCATGAATGTGTGATGCAACTATATGTATCTGTCCCTGATTATGACATTCTTAGAATGAGTATAATAAATAGCAAAACTATTTGTATGGGGAGTGAGTGGGGCAACATCCCAAATTTTATAAAGGGGGTGCACCTCCAATCATTACTAAAAGAGTACATGCTCTAAAAGTCAAAAAAAAAAAACAAATAATGATTTAATGATTCTTATCCTCACAAAAGGTGGAGTCTTTATCTTTTCATTGGGATGTATCCGGCTTAATGAAAAACGGGTTGTGCCCAAATTGATCTACATTCATATTTACTGTAACTAGACAAATTAGAAGGGTTTCATTACCTGAGAACTTTGAAGCATCAAAACAGGTTGTTGCTTAGGGAACTGAGTTGAAAGAAAAAAGTGCACCTACAGCAATTGCCTTCTCATGAGTTTCACGGTGGATATAAAACAATCAAGAAGAATTACAATTAAAAGTTCAAACTCAACACATAGATGCCAAATGGTGAAATAAAATAACTTGGCTAATGAGTTCTTTTCAAGGTTCCTTGACCACACACGAGGTAGCAGATTCTCTATCCAAGCACATCTGCAACACTAGGAACCAAGTTTTCAGGCATGGACAAACCAGTATGCTAAGCAACCGAGAAGATCATTCTTTAGATAGTGTAATGTTAGTATTCACATAGCAAGAAGGTACTAGTTATAGCCAATGTTAAGGTCTATATCATCATCCACAAATACAGAGAAACACAAAAAGTGACAATGAGAAAGGAGTGGGGAGCAGACTTTTACTCAACCCAACTCAACAAATCCATTTTTATTTCCCAAGGAAAGGGCTCCTGACTCTCCCTCAAGGATGGAGACTTGCTCAGATTTTTTCTGGCAGTGAGCAGGAAGTGCAACCAGCAGTGACAAACCAAGATTTTGAGGCTGATGATAAACCAAGCTTTTGAGATGAGCTTAATGGAGTCGGGGAGGGAGACACCCCCACCTCTTGGTGCATTGGTGGGGATTTTAACACTATTTGGTTTCCTTCAGAGAAAATTGGATTGCCTAGAGGAGATCGGGGTATGAGAGGGTTTGCAAATTTTGTGCAACAGTGAGGCCTGATGAATTTGCTGGTGCTAACTTCACCTGGACAAACAACCAGGCTACCCCTACCTTGATCAAACTGGATAGTTTCCTTACCTCTCCGGACTGGGAGGATGGTTTCCCTAATTTATTCCAATCTGCTCTCCCCCAGACCCCTCTCAGACCATATGCCCCTTCTCTTAGATAGTGGAGGGGTGCCTTGTGCCCGCAGGCCTTTTAGGTTTGAACACATGTGGTTGAATGAGGAGAGCTTCCTTGAGAAGTTGCAGCATTGGTGGGAAAGCATGAGCTTCACAGGTTCAGCAAGTCACATCTTCCACTTGAAATTGAAGGAGTTGAAACAAAAAATTAGAGCCTAGAACAAAGACGTTCTCAAGGGAGTAGAAGCTAAAAAGACGAACTACTTACAGCAAATTGTTGATCTTGATTTGGAGGAAGAAAGGGGTCCTTTGAGTGAAGACAACAGGAAAAAAGAAACTTCAGGCCAAGATGAGCTATGATAAAACTACCTTTCAATAAGAGATAAAATGGAGGCAGAGATCTTGAAGCTTATTGTTAGAGTAGGCTGTACAAGGGTAGTACAATCCTTTTATGTTTAGTTATATATGTATTGCTCTGCTGACGTGGCCCTCACTTAAGTGAGGGCACAATGGTAATCCTTGTATATCTTAGAAGAGTATAAATAAAAGAAGGCCGACTAGAGGTTGAGATTTTTCTCTCTAGTTCGGCTGTGACTTTTCTCCTTTTTTTTCTTCTCTTTCTCCTTCTCCTTCTCTCTCTCTTTTCCTTTTCTTTCTTCTGATCTGAACATATACGAACATCTAATCTGAGTTTTATCATGGTATCAAAGCCACAATAATCAGTTCAGATAAGTTGTCTCCTTTTCTCTCTGTTCTGCGCATTCCTCTCTAGGGTTTTGCAGAATTCTCATTGATATTTAGAGAGTTTTCCAGAAAGGAAGAAAAGGACTGGTCGTTTTCTCCTTTTGGGGGTTTCCATGCCTCCAATGAGTGCAGTCGTTGTGGTTTTGTGTGGTTGGTAGAAAACCCTCTACTCGCAATTCGAAGAGGGCTGGTTTTGTGATGGTGACAGTGCTGACTTGGTACCCTCTACTCGACAGGTACATGATCTTTGAACTAAGTTGTGGTATGTAGCAAGTCTCTTTTATATGTTGCAGAACTGAAAATATTATTTGTGAGGTGTGTTGTGAGGGTTTCTAGTGCTGACAGTAAACAGCAACAGTAGTGCTGTTGCAAAAAGTGGTGAACAGTTGTGAATATTATTGCTGAAACAATGGTGAATAGTTGTGTGTTGCTGCTGAAACCTGGTACTAGGAACCCTAGTGGTTGTTTAATCATTCGTGTGGAGTGTGGTGATTTATTAGGGCAGTAGAGTAATAATCTAGTGGTACAACCTCCCACTGCTTTTTCTGTGCAGTCATGGGAGACAGCAGTGAATACAAATCAAGTGTGATAGTGCCTTCTGATTATCTGAATGTGCAGATGACCTCTATAAAACTGAATGGTGAGAATTATGTCCCTTGGGCTAAGTCTATTGAAGTTTTCCTGAAAGCCAAAAAGAAAGTGAAACATGTTAGGGAAGATAAACCCTCAATTGATTCTCC